ACCTAGACCCAGTGTTGGAGTAGGAATATATCTTCGCTTTCCTCAGCTGGCCATAGAAATTCGGCTGGGTGTAAAAAACGACGAGAAATTTTCCTCATTGTCACCAACACATATAGCTAACCATGTGGCCTTCACTAAAAGGGTCGTGAAATCTCACCTGGTCATTATAGAAAGCTCCGTTACTGTATTGCTGGTGTCCACGTCGAGTCCTGACCGACCAGCGATATTAAGCCAGAGCACTCACCAAGGCCTACTACCCCACGAAGACTGAGAGGAGCTGCTAGTAACAGAGGAAGTCTCGATTGCGGTCTCCTTAGATGCCTCCTTCACCGTAGGCTCATCGGGAAGACCATCGCCGTCGTTGGTGACTCTAGTGAGCTCAAAGGGCGTTCGAATGTCCAAGAAGGATCGAGTGAGCCTACGACCAACCCATACAGGTACGAAGAGAGGACCAACCCAACCCCTACGTTTTAGCCCGGATGGCACTGTCGAGGCGCTTGAGGTTGTCCACTGGTGTTGGGGTGTCTCGGCTCAGGACGAGATCATCATGTTCGAAGTGGTAAAACACTCCACCAACCTCATCTATATCTTCCATCACTACATAGAAGTACCTAAATTGACCACGAGTGGAAACTACAGTGTGAGTCATGCGAACTTATATTCACATCAGCTGAACTCCTACTATAGACTACGACGCTGTTATCAATGCCACACTGAGCTCTCACGTACATGTTTTTAAATGTCTGCAAATTTCTTCAAACGCGAAAACAGCAGTGTCCATCGCGGTTAAAACGGCATCTTACACGTCAACGACCACAAGTGGTATCGGCTGAGATTTGGTCGGAGTGCTGAATTTAACACTGAACAATTCCTGCTTCGCTCCGCCTTCTATTCGACTGCCCAAGTACGTCATATGATACATATACCGATCGCTAGTGCTCCATCGCGCAATCTCCTCCTCCACTGCCACCCTGGCTGCTGCCTCCACCACTGCACTGGTGTTGACCATATACCGTATAGAGCTGACTAATACAGAGACCCCGACTTACTACCACCGAAACCCAAGAACGAGCCAATCACAGAGATAAGCAGTGAACATGTTCTTATAATTTTTCGCCGGTGACGGTACACCATTTCATGTTCCCTGTGTGAGCAAATATGCACATGGTCAACTACATGTGTTGGTGACAATATGAACATTTTGCAGAACTTTGGGGAATTCTCATCAGTTGCTGTACACTTCTCCCCGAATTTTCATGTAAATTGCCGAGCCCAGCTGAGGAAAGCACACATAAATTCCAACCCTGGAGACGACAGATCCTATTGCAAACACAGACAGTGAAGACTTGTAATTTTTTCCGCCCAACCACCAACATAATGTTGATCTATTCCTACCTAGTATTTCATCACTAGTAAATATTTGCATTTTTTCATTGATAAATCGATCTCAAATTCTGGCACTGGTTTCTCGCATAGACCCGACCCTTTGACAACCCAACACGCTTAGGGCTAATAAAATGGCTCTTGTTCTCGTCGAAAGATGGTACCATCGGGAGACAGGCCAACCTCCCCTTCACAAACAGCATGCAAAAAGCCCATAAACCACTCAGAGCTAACGTCCTCCCATACACAGCCTAGTTCCGATATTACTTCACCAACTGAGACCTTCTGGGGCTGAGTGTCATCAGCAGAGGCGACCCAATGGCGAACACTATCCAATGCCTCTCTGCGGAGGTCGTGGGCCTTCAGAGTGCCGTCCTCATCCCGAGAGAGCTCCCCACTAGTGACCAACTCCTCAATGGCCATCGCGGCTACACACCTGATGATGGGCACCACCGTAGTCGCGGTTGGTCAATTCCAACTCACACGAAGCGCTTGCATGAAAGCACTCCCGTAGAATTACTCACTGGCGGTCCCACCACTATCGAGCTCAGCTATGATTTTCGGTTGACCCATTTTCGGTCATTTTCTCCTATCTCCTTACATACTACGGGTATCATCTATTCTCAAATGGTTATTCCAATTGCATTAAAGCACCCCAATTGAGATGTTCGTTGCAAAATAATACTCTACACAGTTGGCTGTCCCACTATCGAGCTCAACTGTATTTTTGTTGTTGATACCTTACTCAGCTCTCCTCTCCAATCTCTATACATAATACGGATATTTTCCCTGTCCAGTTGTCATTCCAATTGCATGGGGGCGATCCGAATAGTAGTAGGTGGAAATTAGAGTAGTGATATTACTTCGATACACATTTCCCCGATAGCCGTATCGAGGTGCCATTCTCATCAAAAGGCACGTGGTATCGCGTATAGGTAGCCTCGAAGGCCCGCCTGAAATCCCTTATCTCGCTGGAGGAAGGGATAGTACCCTTGTGACGCCTCCAATCGATCAGCACCTGAAGACGACTTTTCAAAGAGTAGTACTGTGGTGGAGATCTACGCGAATGACCGTCCTATAGGCGGCAACAGCCGAGGCAAACGCTGGTGGGAGCCTCCTGGCACAGTCCGATACATAACAGGGGAAGTCGGGCCTCCGGTGGCATCGGCATGGGCACAGAGTATACCGCTGGCAGCTGATTGGGCCTAGCTGGATGATCTCTGCTGGTCGAGGGCAAATGCAGTGCTCTGAAGGGGAGAAAGATGGGTCACTATACGGCTATGTCACCCACATGGTCCATACTGAGCATGGAAACGTAGGATGAATAGAGCTCTAGTTTCACAAGGACACTTTACTGGGACTATCTCATTGAATGGAAAAGGGCCATTGTCACTGTGCACACAATAGCATACCGAAGATTCTAGTCTGGACAAGGTCCCACTCCTCCACCACATCAAGCCACCACTGAGCCTCTTGGTCCGGCAGATAGTCGTATATACCCTCTAGTGAGGTGATCCTGATCTGCAGTTTGTTCCGAAAGGTCCTCAAATGTCCCTTCACACCCACAACTCTACCTAATACCAGCTCACACAGTGACAATGACAAGGATTGGACCCACATAGGAGTTCCGTGGCCTCGTCGGGGAGTTGCCTCCAGGCCTCGGCTGAGGACTCCCAAAGAACACAACTGAGTAACTCCCCGCTACCATCGTCAATGGACATCTCGACCAGTTTGGGTCCCCTACGAACTCCTACTATCATCCCTGAAGTACCCCCATTGGTACCAACAGAGGCGTTTGATGCACCTACCTCGTACGGCGACCTTCTCTGTGAGGATCGGCTGTTGCTCCTGGCCACTATAGGCTACACATAGAGCAGGGTGTCCCTTGGAAGCCTTGAGACTGCATGCTGGGGAGTGCAGTGTGCTGGCCAGACACTTTAAGTGGAAGGGAGCAGCTCTCTCGATGGGTATAGAGTCAAGCTGGATGGGCCTACTGGGCATGTTGGTGACCAAGTCCTCTAAAAACTACGTCGAAGCAGTTGGGAGATTCACTGCCATGAGTAGAGAGTTCACAGACTTGGATGAGTCTGATAAACACACGAAAGTTTCGAGCTACTACCAGTAACTTGGAACGCACATATAACCGATCTCACTCACTTGACTCTTCACAGAGATGACAACTCGTTCAGATGTGGAGTATTCGTGTTCTCATTGTGGTCCAGGGCGAGCGCGAATTACGATGGATGATTCGTCGGCGGCGAACTCGACATTAAATTTAGAAAGTTTTTAATACTCAGTTGGAACCATTCCTAGGAACCCGTTACTACGGATCAGCCTCAAGGCTTAGGCCGACGTAATACAACGCAATATTCGATTCTCACAGTCCCTTTATAGTATTCTCGAGCATTTCCAAGGCGAGCGGTATACACAACGGAAGCGTGAAATTGTGGAAATACCGGCATGTTGCACGAAAGGCGACCTCTCCCACGATCATCCAACAGCCTTCTCTGCCCACTGAAAGTACATGAGCTTCTGAAGTCTGGGGTGAAATCAGTTACCCTAGTGTGGTCACCCACTGAGGTTTAAAGTGTAGACTCCTATGGACTGGCATTTTCCTATCAGTTGCATTATTGCCTAGAGTTGCTATGAGTCTAAGATTCGTCCTTAAACTCGACTATAGAGGAGAGTGTGTCCGGGTGAGGCCGGAGCCACAATACTGCAAAAGATTCACCCACATCTTGGAGTAATCACAACATGTATCTACCCTCACATCATTTCCATCATACCAGGTACATTAGAGAGGCCTGGCCAGAGCTGGCCAAGACAGGAGACTTTGGAGTCTACTACTCCGACGAAGCTGGTGACCGTTGCACGCTGAATGAGAGGACCTTCCCCGACTGCATTATGCTGCTAGAGGAACGCAATGCTAATAAGGACGCTGAAGAACTACCGGTTCTCAAGCTGACCATCGAGCGCTCTCATGGGCGTCGCTCTCTGGCCACACCTCTGCCCAGACCGCCACATGTTATGGAGGAGACTTCTAGACGGGTCGAACAGAGAATCGGCTGGCGTTTGAGAAATCACTGCGAGCCGGTCACTAAGGGCGGCCTCGAGGGTATGCAGGCTAAGCCAGTGGTCCACTATGGGTTCATATGCGACGGATGCGAGATGGACCCTCTGGTTGGTGATAGGTAAGCAGGAGTGCTCAAGTGAGAACTGCATAGGACTGTTTTTAGGTACAAGTGCAACTACTGTGAAGACTTTGACTTTTGTTCGAAGTGTTTCGACAAGAGACTTACATTGGGCCACAACCCTTTCCATGGCTTTACGTGCTACAAGTACCCAAGAAGGCCTGTGGGCTGCTGTGCCTCGACACAGTTCACCGCGGCCAACAGTGGCTCCGATAATGATACTATGACGCCCACTTATCACTTGAGAAAAGTCTGTTGGGGATGCCCCTGTTACGCCTCCGACCAAGTCTGTTGG